CTCTTTTCCTTGCAGATCAATTTTAGCCTTTAAGCCAAAAATCAAGCTTGCCGATGGCATCAATGGTAGACTTGCCAGAAGACATTATAGGTCATATTATCTCTTTCCTCTCATACAAGCAAGCAGCCAAAACAAGCGTGTTGTCTAAATCATGGCTCAATGCATGGCGGGCACGTCCCACGACCGGCTTGACGTTGGATTATAACAACTTCCGCAAGGAATTGAAAACAGAAGGTCAGGGGCGTTGGCATAAAAGAACGAAAGGGGAGGGAAAGAGAAAGTTCAGTAAATACGTCAGAAGAACCCTGAAGAGCTGCACCAAAGAAAAGACAGGCATAAAACGAGTTCAAGCTTATTGTAAGTGGTATTTTTTTTTTATTGGAATTCTCTCGTTAAGAGATGCTTGCAGGTGGCTGTCAAAAGTGGTGTGAAGAAACTCTATCTTGATATCTACGGATGTGCTTTGCCTGGACACTTCATGGCTCTTCAAATTCCAGAGATTGTTGGCAAGTCTAGTTCAATCTCAAATTTCAGTCAGCCTTGAGCTTTTGGGCAGTATTTCATTTGATTTCAATGAAATTGGAGATAATTTAACATCTCATGAACCTCAAGAGGTGCACGAATTGACTCTGGACATCCACCTGGAGTCTTTATTCTCATCTCCAGTCCTAGTGTTGGACGCCCTTTTTTGGGTTTGTCGTCCAAAAGCTATGAGGCAACACTGGGGTTTTTCGGACGCCATGTTGCCATCAATTTACAAAGAGGAAAGCAACTGACAAGCCTAAGGAAGAAAAATCATCGAAAAGGTTGTGATTTATGATTTGGCATGTGGCACAATTTTTCAGAATTTAATTGCAATGCTGTTTTACTTGATAGGATTTACATTTTTCAAATTACGAGTACTTACTTGATCAAAATTTTGATCAATCATAGTTGTAGTTTGTGCTTTTGCTTCGATTTTCTTTGATGGAATTACTCATAATGACTAATGCAAGTTGTTCCTGGAGTGACTCTTTAACTTAGAAAGTAAAACCTGGTCCCTTAGTCAATATGGCAGTCTCAAGTAGTCTAACTTTTGGTAACTCTTTTGTTCTTGCAATCTGTCCTGTGCAAATTCTAAAGACTAATAGCAAACAACACAATCTGTGGTGGATTCGGGGGAAAGAAAAGATTCAGTAGATGCAGAATAATTCATTGTGACTCACAAGAATATTAATGCATACGCATACGAGACAAATATAGACACTAAACAACAAATTTAATTGCATGTAAACCATAATAACCTTTTTAACACACATTGAATTATCTTTCACAATCAATCTCATCAGAGGACTTTGATGCAATCATTTGGTTAGCTTTTTTTTTTTTGTTTCCATTTTTTTTTGTTTACCATCACTCACAATTAATGTACCTCCTGCATCTAGATATTTTTCTAAATTAATTTCACTATTCCAAAAAAAATTAACCTAGCCTCAAAAAAAAAAAAAAAATCAACCTAGTCCCTCTTAAGGAGTGTCCTGAGACACTTGATAGCTAGCCAAACCCATTTGAAACTTCAGGATCCAGCAAGAAAAATTTTCAAACGACAAAAAAAAATTAATTAAATAAACCAGTTGTCTTCTAAGAACCCAATTAGACTTAAGAACAGTGAGCAGAAAGCTTTTAAGACGGTAAAAATAAGTAAATGAATCGAAAGAGTACTTATCCTGTTAGAAATTCCAGTTACTTTAGTAAGACCGATCTCATATGCCCAATAAAGCAATCCTTCTGATTCGTTAAACAATTAGAACTTTTGTGAGTTTGGGAGACTGGAAATCAATGGTGACATGGACGTTGAGCTCTTGTTAGAGTAGAATTCTAATCCTACATATAATCTCGAGCGAAGCACGACTATAATTAGATTTCCCTAGTGCAGGTAGAGTTACAGTTGCTTGTTGCTATGGCGCAATCAGAAACACTAGAAGATTGTTCAATCAATTTGCCAGTACATATAATACATCATATACTCTCATTCTTCTACTCTCCCATGGAAGCAGCCCAAAAAAGTTTAGGGCAAATTACACTTTACCCCCTGTGATTTAATATTTTTATACATAATACCTTCATGATTTGGATTAAAGCGTCAAAGCGACGGAATTTGTAATCCGTGACGGAGTCACCTAAACTACAAAAAATACCCCTATATAAAGTTGAAATTATTTATTAACCACAAGAGAGTTATGTGTATATTTTGAAGATCATAAGTGGATTATATGATAAAATATTAAATCATAAGGAGATTATATGGTAAAACATAAAATCATACAAGGTTAGTATGTCATGTATATTATGTTTATATATTTTGGTCACTTTATCCATTTTAATTTTTAAACAAGGGTAATTTTAATATTTTCATAGGTTCCGTTACGAATGATCATTTCCGTCACTTTGATACTTTAATCTAAACCATAAGAGGGTTATATATAGTTTTTGAAATCAGGGGGAGTTATATATAAAAAATACTAAACCATAGGGGGGTAAAGTGTAATTTGTCCAAAAGTTTATTGTCCAAGGCATGGTTGAGAGCAGTAGAGCACATGCACCCGGCCCAAATTGAAGTTCAATGGTTGGGAATACTCTATACCCAAGAAGAATACTGACATCCAAGTTCTTGAAAAGCAATGCTACGATTTCATAAATCGCATCAACTCCACCTTCAACAGGTACGATGAGCACAAGAATGGTATTGATAATTTGGAGCTTATTCGCCCTCCATCTGTATCGCCTGAGCATGTTAATAGATGGATCCAAATTGCTGTAGACAACAATGTCAAAAGGCTTGTGGTTGATATAACTACAGATTCTTTTATTTTGCGTCAACCTATTTCAACCACAGAATCTTTTATTTTGCCTCGGACATGTTTTTAGCTGAATCACTTGTTGAACTGAGTCTCTGCGGCAACTTCCAGTTGAACCCCGAAGTAATTAAGAAAATAACTTGTCATAATCTCCAAAATCTTTGGTTCACAGGTGTTGATCTAGATGAAGAAATGTTTCAAATAATAGTTATGAGCTGCCCGTTGATTGATTTGTTGAAAATTTGGAACTGTGCTGGCCTGCCAACCTTAAGGTGACTAAGCTTCAGAAACTTAAGGTATTTGAGGTTATCTTTAAGGAAGGTGGATGTGTTGCAGTCGAAGCACCAAGCCTTAGATTCTTTAATTATCGTAAAATATACTCGTTCGACAATGAAGAAAAAATGCCATCACAACATTGCAGTCTTCAGATGCATTCATCTCAAAATCTATGGCATTTGCAATTTGAAAACATTGACATTACTGACGAGCTTTTCTTAGTTATCACAGAAAAATTCCCACTTCTTGAAGACTTGAGCACATGGTTCAAAGTCTCGGCCGAGTCGTCACCATCTTGGGTCCTCCCGATATGATACCGGGACGATATGATTACGAGATACTTAAATCGCCGAGACGTCACCGTGAAGGGTTGAAACGGCCGAGTCACACCGAATCACTCCTAGTCAACTCGAATTTTTATTATTTTTATTAATTTTTAATTATTTTTGTTTATCATATTTTTTTACAATTTTTAGAATATTAAATATTTCAAAAATTCGCGTCTCGCCGAGACCGCGATCGATGTGGAACGGTCTAGGCCGCGACCGCAACCGCGACTGTTACTTTGAACCATGCTTGAACATCCAAGGATGCAACCATTTGAGAAGAATCAAGATTTCCAGCCACTCCATTAAACGCATAAATTTGGAATCGAACTATAGACTCGAAGAGGCCTATATTGATGTTCCGAGCATTAATCGATTTAAATTTAGAGGATGCTCCATTCCTCTGTTTTCTTTTACAGCTCCCTCCGGTTCTTGTGTTTCTCTAATTGAATTTTATTGGTGGGACTGGCAGTTACCAGAGGCTTCTTTGTTCTTTAACTTGAAGGACTTGTTGACAAAACTAAGTCAATCTAAAAATTCGCTCCAACTGAAGTGTGGCAGTACTTTAGCAAGCACCATTGTGGATGAGATAAGAAACAGCGCTTTATATCCAATTCCTCAAGTTCAAACATTGTCGATACGCTTTGAGAAGGGAAAATTCTTTGATGCTGATCTGATTCTGGACACAATCTTCTGTACCTGTCGTCCAAAAACCATAGCTCAAGATTGGAATCAGGACCTGGATTTGAACTCAAATGAACTTTCAAGCATTGAATAGTTTGGTCATCTTCCAACCATAATATGCCCTTTTTTGTTGAAGTTAAGAAAGTTAAGAACCACACTTGATTACTTTTTTTTTTTTTTTTTTGGTGAAACAGGGATAACAGTTGTTGTGGTTGGAACTTTATGGACCACTTTAGTACATATACTTGGACTTCAGGGACAAAAGTTGCATTTTTTTCACATAGTGCGTTAGCCGTTAAGAGACTATCTAACAATCATTGAGAGCTGTATAAAATTCGTATCAGACAAAAGAAATATAAAGAAGGAAAATTTTAAGATGACAAAAAAATACAGAAATTGCCAATTATTTTTGAGATGTATGTAATCGTGTTACTCAATTATAGAAAGGGTGGAGTCTACACCTAATTCCGCCCCTCTAAGGTGGTTTAATTTTGATTTTTTTTTTTAAAAAAAAGGAATTTCACATGACTCCTGCCAATAGGAATTTGTAGATTTGTCAATTACGCTTTCCTGTTTCGAATTGGAAACAATAGGAGAGTCCAATTCGAACTGTTTTGGGTTATGGAAACTGGGAACCAATGGCGGTGACAAATTACTCCATAGTAGTGCATAAAAGGAGCAGTATCTTCAGATTTCCCTAGTGCAAATTGCTCTGCTTCATCAATTCACGCTGACACCAGACCTCTAGCGTATAACCTAAAAAGTTGTCTATTACCATGGTGGAGACAGAAGCTTTAGAAGATTGCACGGCGAAATTGCCTCAACATGTTATGCATCACATACTCTCTTTCTCCAAATCCCAAAACAGGCAGCACCAATGAGTTTGTTGTCGAAGGCATGGTTGCAGGCATGGCGCACGCGCCCCAATTTGGAGCTTTTGTGCAATATATATTCAGAACCGACTGATAAAGGCATTCAAAAAAGGCGAAGTGATTTCGTAAATTGCATCAACACCACCTTGCAACGGTACCGTGAGCACAAGAATGGTATTGATCGTTTAAAGCTTTGTAGCCCTCCATCTGTATCGCCTGAGGATTTCAATAGATGGATCCAAATTGCTGTGGAAAACGGAGTCAAAAGTCTTGATATTGCTGCCTTTGATATTGCTGCCCCTTCGGGTTCTGAATATTTTGTTTTGGCTCCAACTGTTTTTGAAGCTAAGTCGATTGCAGAATTGGATCTTGGCCATTTCCAGTTGAAGCCCCAAGCGATTAAGACGGTAAGGTGTCACAATCTCCACAAACTTCGGCTTATGCATGTGAAATTAGACGAGGTATTGTTCCAAAGAATATTGTCCAGCTGCCCGTTGATTCATTGGTTGACAATTGTTAACTGTGCGGGTCTTGCCAACGTTAAGGTGACCAAGCTTCAGAAGCTTGAGCGTCTTGATATTGTAGCAAAGGGAAGTTGTTCTGTTGAAGTCGAAGCACCAAGTCTTCTGTACTTTAAGTATGGTAAACTACTTTCCTTCGAGCTAGAACGAACATCAAGACGTCGCAAGCTTCGGATGCATGCCTGTCCAAATCTAAAGCATTTGCTGTTGGACGAAATTGGCATCACTGACGAGTTTTTCTTAGATATCGCAGAAAAATTCCCACAACTCGAAGAGTTAGAAATCACAAGCTGGGACGGCGATTTGGAAAGAATCAATATTTCCAGCCGCTCCATTAAGCACATAAGTTTGGAATCGCACTTGGAACCAGTAGAAGAGGTCCAAATTGATGTTCCAAGCCTTGATTGGTTTGAATTCACAGGAAGATCCATAAACCTGTTTTCTTTCACAGCTCCCTCTGGTCCTTGTGTTTCTAAAATTAAATTGGGGTGTAGGGCATGGCCCTCAGGCCCCTTACCAGTGGCTTCGTGGTTCTCCAAATTGAAGGACATGTTGACAAAGCTAAGTCAATCTAAAGTTTCACTCCATTTAGACATTGATCAACCTGTGTCCAGGTCCACTGCTTTTGAGGTAAGAAATAGATCCATTCTTCTTCCACTGCCTCAAGTTCAAAAGTTGTCCTTATGTTTTCACAATAGATGTTTAGATACTGAAGACTCAATTTTAGATGCTATCTTCTGGACTTGTCGTCCTAAAACCATTGCTCAAAAGTGGAACAATTGCCTGAAGCCAAACAAGATTCACCTCGCAAAGGTAATCTATGAGACGTTCCTTCTGGGAGGAGAAAATATTAAGCACACCAACGTGCAGAAAAGGAAGCTTTGGCAGAATGATCTGAGGGATGTAAAGCTCGTGAGATTTAAAAAGGGCCAAAGAGTGCACTTGTCTAATTCTCTGGACTGGGATACTTTTTTGGAAGTATTCCCGCGTAAAGGGGACCGTCGACGTTTTCGCTATGAGCTAGAGTGGGAACCAATAGACGTGGATCGGAAGCAAAAAGTTTCAAACCCAAAAAGAAGGAAATTAGAGGAGAGCAGGAAATAGCAGAAAGCGGTAGGTATCAAGAAGCTGATGAATATGATGTTCAAGGGCTTTCCGAATGCATTTAATCGTCTTAGTGACAGGCTCAAATATTTCCTGGGCAGGAGTTGAGTATTTTGATCCTGATATTCCATGCCAAAATTGAAGATGAATACCTAGACATTATTTAGAGTTTAAATACCCTTTACTGATCATTATTCACCAAAATATTGACCCTTCTGTCAAAATTAAAAAAATCTTGACATTTTTGTCGGCAATCCATAACTATATAAAGAAATTTATTTGTAGAAAATTGACGTCTTATATATGTCAAACTTTTCATCCACTTAACGCCTGAACAAAACCAATACAGAGTCCTGCACTCCAGAACAGCCGTGGCTTTTCCTTTTGCTCCCTTGCCATGTTTTCAAATTCTTTAAGAATTTCTTCATGCAGCAGAAGGATGATTTATGATGTTCCTGCTTTCACATAAATTTAACACTAAAGATACAAGATATGTTGTTCCTTCTCTTTGTATTTAACTCTCTTCTCTATGAACACACATGATCATGATACAGTTCTCGTTCCTACGTCCTTGCACATGTATCTTGTGCTTGTACATTGGAAATATCAAACAGTAGGAGGAGCCAAAAAAAGAGCAAGAGAGGGCTAAGAATTCCTTCGTGTGCTTCCCAGACAGTTTGATACTATCCAACATTTTTGACAAAAAAAAAAATCCATGAGGCCAAGTCCCTGTGCGATTGTTCGACAGTCAACATGTTTTATCTCTTGTTTACCAGTCCAAGGCTTGTTTCAGTGAGTAGTTCTCTACTATCAATCTTGGAAGAACTCATGCTCAATAAAATGCTATGAAATTGGTCTAAAACTGGATAGGGGAATTCAATGCAAACTGATGCCACACACAGAATTTCAGCTTTACTGTAAGAAAACTTTGTGGTACACCAATTCAGTTCCAAGTGCAAGTGCATTAGTAAGAACAAAGATGATACTTCAACCATTATTGTTTAAGGGCATGCCCCAAACACTGAGAACGGACTACTTGGCATAGTACATTTGTTCCACGACAAAATATATGAATAACTTCTGACTGGCACTGCAGCAATGATTTGCTTAATTTCCTTGTAATCTCAACCTTGACATCATGTGTTCAGATTTCTGCCCCGCAAAAGAAGTTAAACAACAGTTAGTAAGGTAACACAGATCAGTTGAACAGGATAGGCTAGTAATAGTGCTAATCTCTCAACTTGTGGCTCATCAACAAGGACATGAAGGTATTCCAACAGGCCATTGCTTTCCTGGCTTTAATTGAATGGCAACTACTCTTACGAATGATGTGAGTAGGTAGTTCGATGAGAACTATTTTATATTTTGTTTCACTCAAGAGAATTCTATACCTTGTATATAATTCTGGCCAAAGAAAGGGAGAGAAAGGAAGAGAGATCCTGCTTAATATATCATAAGCATATGAAATGTCTAAGAAAACAGCAAATTTGATCCGAAGATTGGGTCACCTTTTTCTGTACTATGGTTGCTTAAAGAAAGAATAAGAAGTAATTACATAAGATTGTATGATACAAATTACACAATAACACAAGATGAACTAATTACATAAGATTGTATGATATACTTAGGACCGCTGAAGGTAAGGTATAAATCAGCATTTTATAGCATGATATGTATATGAAAGCCAAAGTAATTCATTAGTGCTGTGAGTAGCCTAAATTTGCAGACAAGCACAACCAGATAACCTTTGTGTCATCCCATTCCTCTCTCTCTCTCTCTCTCTCTCTCCCCCCTCCCCAATCTGCCCCACTACCTGCCCCAACCCCCGTGCGAACCCACAGAAAAAGACAAACGAAGACTAAGTTATTTTCTCCAAGTCATCAACTCAGTTACATTCAGCACATTCATTAAAGATACAAATGAAGATGCAAGAACCGACCTGCTCAGAATGTGGCAAGTACTTCCCATCAAAAGTCACAACAACACGCTCTTTTCCATCCACACCTTTAATTTTGTCAACAGAACAATAGAAGTCTATAGCAGACATGCTGAAAATAAGAAAGACAAGAAGAGTAAACTGATTATATGACCAAAAAGTTCAGTTGAAATCTGTTCATAAAAAAGGAGATAGGTTATAAACCCTTAAATATGTATGAACCACCATGGCGCCCATTTCCTATCACGACATGCCATTAGAAGTACAGAAAGCGAGGAAGAGATATCTAGGTGGATGCATGTGCACAAATCGGAGAACAAACTATTAGAGGTATAATATAAACTATTAACGCATGCTATAGAAACCAGCTAGTATTAGAAAAATGTTCTAAACCTAATCCTCACAAGGCCATCAAAAGGGTTTGGTGCAACAGATGATGGACTTCTGCTCAAACATAGCTATCAAAAAAAAAAGTTTCAGAATTCTCCTGGGTACTTAGAAGAACCACCAGTAGAGAATTTAGATATTCAGGAGTCAACATAGCAACTTACATGCCATCACCAAATTCCTCATTGATAATTTCTTTAATGCTCTCACCAAAATGCATAACAGCTTCATTGAGCCTGCAAAAACATGAAGGGAGACAAGATCAGCCTAAAAGAAAGTCATTGATACGTGTACAAGTGAGAGTGAGAGACAAGATCAGCCTATGAGAAAGTCATTGATTCCTAACTAATAGCTCTCCGTAGATACTTCTGCAAGCATTTGGATTCAACTTTCATCTTTCTTTAGATACAATATCATAACAAGATAAACTTGAAGAAGGGAACATAATCACAAAAGCACTTCAGTCTCAAGTTCTCAACTCACTTGGGATTGAAATGACAATATTACAAACTTCAGATAATCTTTCCTAATTAGATAGGAAATGCAACAAGCAATTGCACAAGCTTGAAATTGCTGCAACCTTTACAATAATGCAGCCAAGATTGCTTTTTTTCTCTCACACTTGCATCTTGATTCTTGCAATTCAACAAATGAAATGACTTTCCTACCATGCACTTTCCTTGAACATCCAAAGATAGGGAGTTTACCAATGCAAATATACTACAATAGTTCATGGACAAAAATTGGAGCGTGTCAAATAGTACACTGAATTTACTACAAATTCTTGTCAATTTCTCTCTTCAAATACCATTTCTTTTCAACAAGCCGATTCGATGCGGATCATCGAAGAGCTACTATGTAATCAACTAAAGCAAAAGAAGGCTAACTAGTCACTTTCTTAACAACTTTGTCATTTTCCGAAAATTGATACTAATACAGATTGACTATGGAGGACAAATAGAACACAAGAAACAATCCAACAATATCCAAAAACTCAAGGTACATACCAGAAAAAGGACCCATAAAAATACAATAAAATAAAATAAAAACACAGAAAACAGGAATTTCAACCAGCCCACATAAAAATGTTCCACAAAACAGCAAGAAATTAAAACACGGGCTAAAACGGTTTACCTATAAACAGTTGGGTCTTGAATTAAATTAGGATCATATGACCTGAGAGGTGGCCGCATCATTTCTTGAATTAACTCCTCAGGCAGCTCAGGCAAGGATGCTCGTAATTTAGGGACAGTATCAGGCTTCAACTGGGCTTGCCTCTTGAATAGCTGAGCAACATAAACATTCGTCAATCCAGTTTCTTCAGCAATCTGACCATAAGTCTTGCCTGACTTGTGCTTCACTGCTTGAAGTTCAGCTGCTATGCTTATTTTCTCGCTCTGTTCTGCCATTTTTTACTTGACAAGAAAATCGTGAATCAGCAGCGTTATAACCACAAGAAAGGCCGGCGGCTACCACTGAGTCATTTAAGGCGTGGTGGGCAAATTTACCTCCCATCAATTATCATATTAAGTGATTTCTTAAAAATTTAGATGAATACATAATGTATTTATCTGATGCATTTATTTGATTCGATAATAATTCGATTTCCTTCACGCTTCTAGATGCAGATAAAATTAACGATTGATAAGAAGAAGAAAAAAAAAAGAAGAAAATTAAGCAGGTCATCAGTTTTCTATCCAAAGTTGTTCAAATGGGGCTTGGGGCTACGATGGGTCGAATCCAAGAGGAGGACAAGACTCTAATGTTGGATGGTCCTTTACTTTTAAGATCTTCACATTTGGGCAGTCCAATTTCATTTGCTTTATGGACTTTTGGGCAGTCCAACTGCTTGGGGCGGTTACATTGAAAAAAATATGTTTAAATAGTAATTTAAGAAATGCTTATAGGTAATTATCTTGACAAGATATGTTTAGGTAATTAAAGTAAAGTTAGTTTTTTACAAGGGCAAATATGAAAGTACTTAGACTGATAATAAAATGTTTACGCCAAACCCCTTCCTCTCTCTTTATATATAGTATAGATATCATGGGAATTTTGGTTAGACATTCAGTTCATTTTTTCCTCCTCTACCATTATAAGAGTTAGAACATCCGTTTAAAATGAAAAGAGGAGAAAAGAAAAAAAAAGGAAAGAAAGAACAAAAGACCTTCGAAACCTAATACCTTGTGTTTTGGTTTGCCTGTACTAGGTTATTGTAATCTTTCCCAAGCAACTTAATTGGTTGTTTCCTAAGCAACTTTGGTTGCTTTGCTTGTAAGAGGTTGCTACAATCGCCAAGAGTTGCTTTGTGAAGTAGTTTACTGCATGAAATTGGAATTGGTCTACAAGAAACTGAATTCCAGAGTCCCATATTTAAGGGAATCTTGAACTCATTCTTTTGTTGTTGGAGGAGGATTCCTTGGTCTTTAAACGTTCATTTGGTTTTGGCCTTTTGGGCTATCAGAGTCGAACCTAGAGGTGGCAATTTGGATTGAGATCCATTTATCCATCCATATAATCCATAATTAAATGGATTTGGATTATCCATTTATAGTATTGGTTTTAAATGGTTAATCAAAGTAAAACCATTAAATTAAATGGATTTATATGGATTATCCATAAAAACCATATATATCCATTTATTTAAAAACCAAATAAATGAAACGGAAAGGAAATG